GAGAGAAGCAACTTAGAACTGAGGAGAAATTTCCCGACAGTTAGAACAATTAATCAGTGGAACAGCTTGCCTCCAGAAGTTGTGAATGCCCCAATACTGGAAGTCTTTAAGAAAATGTTGGACAGCCATTTGTCTGAAACGGTATAGGGTTTCCTGCCTAGGCAGGGGGTTGGACTAGAATACCTCCAAGGTCCCTCTGCTATTGTATTGTGGTTTGTACATAAGGCTTGACTGCAATTAAACTAAAATGGAGGTTCATTCTCTTACCAAGAGGTAAGGAAAGGAGGGATGCAGTGGTGAAATTATTATTTTTTTATTAATGGTTCAGTGAGCGTGGCTTGGTGGGTGTGGCAGGGCAAGAATACTGCAAAATCCCCATTCCCTTCCCACCAGCCAGAGGTGGTATTTGCCAATTCTCCAAACTACTCAAAAATTCCACTACCGGTTCTCCAGAACCTGTCAGAAACTGCTGAATTTCACCCCTGGAGGGATGGTTCCAATGTGATCCATAATCTCCGGATCAGAGGTTTGCCTCAAATGAGGCCTTCCAATTACCTTCAGAGAGAATTGCCTTTGCAGGAAGTACCACTGGAAGGCCTTTAAATGTGACTCTACCTTATCTGCCTTTTCAAACTTCAGTGTGCAGGAGCAGTTTTTGTCAACTCCTTATATTAAGTATGAATAGCAATTGTGTACATGTATTCTACAAAAACTGTGATTGCCTATCTACAGTTGGCGAAAGACAAAATGGATAAGCCAGAATGCTATTAGACCTAGTTCTGACTTTTCACCAGTAACAGAATGACTATGTTGGAATTGAACTGAATGCATATGAAATTTATTTATTTTTTTGTTTGGGAGTTTTGTTTTTCTTTTTGGCACTGTGTGCCATCACAACGTTGCTGTAATGAACAGATAATCCCGTAATGTTGAACTGAGCTTCTGAGATAAATTTCTTCCACTTATAAATATTAATGGGAGAATTAAGAGAATTTAGTGCATTAGCAAGCTTCAGGATTAATAAACAAAAGATAAAGATGTTAACAAAACATGAAAACAGAAGATAAAACATAATTGATGAACAAAATGGAGTTTAAGTTTAAGATGATGATAACATAATTACTATCACAAACATGAATGTATGCAACTTCAAAATAATTATGTTAAGACATGGAATGAAGTTATAAGAAATATGTCAAGATGTGAGAAGTTAACAATTGTCAGTACTGAGAATTTATGTGATAAATATGAAGGTCTTTGCTAAAATGTTGTTTTTGTTTCAGACCATACCTGTTTAAGTGGAAAAAGGATATAGCTAAGAAAAAAGAGTGTGTGGCCAACTTATTCTCCACAGCACCTGAAGGCAGGACAAGAAGCAAATGGATGGAAACTAACCAAGGAGAGAAGCAATTTAGAACTAAGGAGAAATTTCCTGACAGTTAGAACAATTAATCAGTGGAACAACTTGCCTCCAGAAGTTGTGGATGCTCCAACACTGGAAGTTTTTAAGAAGATGTTGGATAACCATTTGTCTAACATTTTACAGGATTTCTTGCTTGAGCAGAGGATTGGACTAGAAGACCTCCAAGATCCCTTCCAACTCTAGTTAATCTGCTTTATTTGTCCCCAATATAAATATAAATATAAATTGCAGAAGAAAATGAGAGGGGGTTGATTTTACCTAATCTGAAATTGTATTTTTAGCTAATTGATTGGTTTAGATGAAAGAATGGGTGCTGCTGAGAGAAAAGAAAGCTTTTACAGTTAGAAGGACAGGGTGTGAGATTTGGATGGCATATATATTTGTGGTATGATAAACTTAAGGTCAGTGTGGATTTCAAAAATCATTGTTGGATGTGCCATATTGTGACCATGATATAGTTACAATAGTTCAGTGTCCATATATATTTTTGCTGCTTATCATGCTTTCTGGATGTGTAAAAAAGGCTAAAAAATTCAAATACATATAGAGGACTTTAAATATTACCATACAATTGAGACCAGAGATTGATAGATAAACAGTTGAAAAAAGTCATGAAATTTTGTTTTTGTACATAATAACTTCAGTGAGATTACTGTATTCCCAAATATGGAAAGATTCAGCAGTATCCACAATGGAAGAATGGATGGTGAACATAATGGAACTTACTGAGATGGCAAATTGACTTCTTTGATCAGAAAAAACACAATATATATTTATTGCTGACTGGAAATTTTTTGCATAAAACAGAAAAATGAATTTATGATTCATGGTTTTGATGATTAGACAGGATAGATCATGGACAGAAGAGGGTTATGTTATAACCACTGAGTAAGGACTAAATTTATAATTGTATTTACATCTGCTGTAAAATAGATTGGAGCTTTTTCCCCCCTTTTCTTTATATTAGTTTGTGTTATCATATGTGTGTGTGCATGTGTTTGTGTTTGTGTGTGTGTGTGTTATGTGTGTATATGCATGTATGTGTATATATGTATGTATGTATGTATGTATTTATATGTGTATGTATAAATTTAATAGTTTTAAATATCAAAATATAACTTAAAATTATATAAATAAAAATTATATGAAGAGATTAATTGCAGTTGGTATCTGCTTGCTGCATTGAATTCTGCAATCCCCTTGATGCATTTGAATTCTTAACAAAGGAATTAAAATATGCACTAAGCTAAAATATATCTGGCTTGGAACTTAGAAAATGTAAATACAGCTAATGGAGATTAAGAATAATCTTCCCAATTTTTTCCTAAATCTTGAACGTTTAATCTTGGAAAATTGCATGCCAATTAATATCTCCTGGATATAGCACCTTTAAGTAATAATCAACTCATATTTCAATGTGGCTATTTCTTTTAAAGAGTTAGCGGTAAAAGGAAACTAGGTTGCCAGAGAACTTAGTCCTGGACACGATCAAAGTTGACACCAGCCAGAGCCTAGAAAAACTCAAAGAAATAGTGCAAGATTGGAAGATGGAGAGACCCACAGAATTGCCAAGGGTTGGATATGACTGAATGGATATCAGCCTCAGCCTCATCATCATCAATTTTTAAGTTAACATAACAGTGAAGAGATTTTATTAGTATGGAGTTCATCCATCGAAATAATACATTGCCATGGCTATTATGCAGACCTCAACAAAATCCAATTCTGATTCCAGCCACAATTAGGTATTACTGACAAATGAAGGTAAGTGTACATGTCCCAGGTTAATGTTACAGAATGGGTCAGTCACAGGGACCAAAGCAGCGGTAGGTTTTACATTTTGTTACCACCAGTTTGCCGGGGGCGCACGGTCTTCTGTGTATGTGCTTTGCTCACGTGCCTTCCGCTCATGTGCCCAGCTGCAAAAACATGCCTAAATAGGATGGCGTAGAGCCAGGGTGGATGGGCAGTCCCACCCACGATTTCTACTACTGGTTCGAGTGAACCGGTCCGAATCGGCTGAATACCACCTTTGGACCAGAGGTTTTTTTTCTTTTGAGTTTTCAGACTCTTGCTGGAGCCCATCTTCAGGGTTAGAAAGATATTTCCTGGAAATGGGCTCCAGTATGAATCTGAAAGCTCAGAAAACAAAATCTCTGGTCCCAGTGACTGACCCAGATTACATCCTGCTAGATATTACTGAATTTTAAAAATTGAGGAATGAGTGGAAATAAACTACAATGGGACATTAAACTCCTTTGGATTTAGAAATGGTCAGAATGTACAGTATGTGGGAATGCATCTGCCAGAAATCCAGTAAACTTAATATGTTATTTGTTTGCATTGTCCAACAGATACAGACAATAGCTGAAAAAGCCCAAGAAAAGTCATAGCCATCTTAAAGAATTTAAAATAGGTGTTATGCCCTTGCATTATGTCAAATCACATTTTTCACACTTTGTCCTTTTGATTGCAAAGCACTGAACAACCCTACTTGCCCAAACTTCTGTTTGTCTTTGACCATAGGAAACAAAAAAGTAAGCAGTATATATATATTGATATTCCATATGAAGTCAATCCTCTGTAGAATATTTTTTTAATCAAAATGTTTCAGAATGTATGCATTTTAATGAAATGGATCTCTAAGTAAATATCAACATCCCCCAAGTCTTCTAAATACAACACTAATAAATCGCTACAAACAAAGAAAAAAATTCATTGGTGACTCCACAAAGAGCAGAATACATGAGGATGCACAAATTTAGCATTTTAAGATCCTGTGTGACTTTTAAAGTATGTTCTTAAACAAACACCATCAAAGTCCAAAATTGATAAGGCTCACATTACCATATGGAGTTATGGAAAAGTAAAGTCAAAACTTAAACTTCAGTGATACTTCCTCAATCATCATAACTTTCATTGAACTTATAGTTAATGAAACTAGATTGGGCAGACTCTCAGAAAGTAGTGTAAAGCCTGTTTCCAACCTCATTTAAAAAAAAAAAACAATTCTCAGGTTTATCATTTGTACTGTGGTCAGACACTTATTTAATCAATACATTGATTTCCTTCAAAGAAAAGTTGGGAAGGGAGAAAAGAAGCCTTTTAAATTACCGGCTCCAATTGCTCTGTGCCTACACACAAACACACAGACACACACACACACACACAAACACACATACTGGGGAGGGAGAGGGAAGATGATACAGAGAGGGAAAGACAGAAAGAGTGAGACAGAGAGAGAAAGACAGAGGCAAAGGCACAGAGAGACAAATAAAAAGGGAGGGAAAGAAAGAGAGAGAGATAGACCGAGAGATACAGAGACAGAGAAAAGCAGTGATAATCTGTTTGAAAGACCCTATGAACTGTTGATAACCTAGCACAAGGTAACCAAGTCTATTTGACTTACCCATTAGTCTACTCAAGGCAGCATTCCTGGTGGGTGATTCATTGAGCCCTTCAACTCCACTGTACAGGGAATGGGAAATCCTACGCTCCCGGTCATCCATTACTGTCTCAATGGGCAGTTCCGGCCCCAGAGGACTTCCAGGTGATTCCAACTGCAGGAAAAGGAGGAAAAAATCACTATTGAAGTCCCATTTTATAGCAAGATGAAACCAAACAAAGCACCTTAGGCTTGGAAATGGCTGGACATGAAAAAAGCTAGGAACTCTCAACCTGCATTTCAATTATTTGCATTGATAGTGCTGCTTATTGACCAACCAATCCAGTCCAGATACTTGACACAACATTTTCTACAGAGTTTTGTCAGACTCTGTCTTTAGATAACAAACAAACATAACAAACTGTTATATTTTAATTTATAGCTGACCTTTAAAACAGCACTCTTGCATTTTGGCCTGATTTTTCCCTTTATTAAATGAGAGCACCAACCAACAAGCTTCTCTTGAAGAGAAAAAGGAAGACTTTTCTCCCTGTAACTAATAGAATAAAATAATCTCTCTTGTTGTAATTAAAAATCTGACTTCAGAGTGTTTTTCTAGTGAAGCAATATACTTTCATGTGCAATCATTGCACAAGAATGTAAGTATCAACATGGACAAATAAATAACTATAATATTCCAAATTCTACCATTGTTTCAAATTACCATGGTTTTCTACTTAGAGTAAATTCAGTGATTGGGCTTTGGCAGTAGCAAAGCAAATGGCCATAGTATTTCTAATCCTTACACTGACAACTTTTCAGAATATGGCTAGTATATCTACCACTTCTGTTGTATTTCCACATATGAATTTTGTTTCTCTATTTCCCACCCCTTATAAGCATTTTTCAAAGATCCTTGCCCAGCAGGAACCTACAAGCCTGCATGCTTTAAAGATGGAGAAAAGAGAATACATAGCAATATTAATTGCGGAAGAGGTGATAATAAAACTGCTTCTTTCACTGTTTCGCCTTTCTAATTGCCTGCATACTACACGTTAATATTACAATCGTGATTTTAAATGCATGACAGTGTGAACCACAGGGTCACATACTCCACAGGCATTATCATTTGAAAAACATAAATATGGTTAAGATTTGGATCAGCGCTAATCCTAATTATGCTTGGCACTTATCACCTCATACTATTAAATAAGATTGAGTTTCACTCAAAATCTAAATAATACTTTACACCTAAAAGCTAACCAATTGAAACTCAACTAATATTTATGCCATGCATTTTAATAAGGTATCATGAAAGAAATCATGGCAGTTCTTTGTAAGATCAATAGTTTTGGCAAGCACACTAACAAGAGAAAGGGCCAGATCCACATGGATTCTATGAAGCACAGAATCTAAGGCAATCTGGGCAAATGAACCTAAGAAGATTTGTTATCCGTTTTGAATGAACATATCATGACGTAGACATCAAGTCTGTTTATTCTTCAGGCTGGTGTTTTCGGCTTAAAGCGTGGTCGGAGCTGCCATCAAAAAGAAAGACGGCAGCTCTGACCACTCTTTAAGCCGAAAACACCAGCCTGAAGATGGCGAGTGAGACCTCACCGAAACATTGCCAAGAATATCTCAGTCTTACACGGGAAAAGACGATTTGGCTTCAGTTATTTGAATTACAGTATTCACAAATATTAATAGATTTATTAGGCTGAATTTTCCTTTTTCCTTCTGAGGATTGAAGCTGATATATACACATAGATATCTATCTATAGCTATAGCTATCTATCTATCTAAAATGTGTTTTACTCTGATTTTTCCAACAATCCTGCACTGGCTTGTTCTGTAAACTTTGTGTCGAAAATTTAGGATTGTGCAGTTTTTGCATTTCTTTGCTTTAAATGATGCTACAAAACATGGAAAGAGTTTATATGAGTTCCCCTAATGCCACCATAATTTTTCTAGATGTTTGCAAATGCTTCAGTTACCTTCAATTATCCTTGCATATATGCACATGCAGCATTCCACATCACATTTTTCCCACTGATGCAGAAGCAACACACACAAGTCTAATAGGTGTGTCTTCCATATGTGTGTGTGTGTGTGCGCGCGCGTGTGCGCGCAATACTGTCTTTCTTTATTTTCTACCAGGTGATTGAAGCAGGGCTGTAGTAAGGGAGAAGTAGCTTTATAGTTGGCTCACATTGTGGGTAGGTTTGGGTCAAAACAATTAAGAGGAAATACAGAATGTATTCTGTAAAAAGTTACCTCTACTATTCCAGCAGCCCCTAACCTTTTAGGTGCCAGAGATCAGTTCTGTGGAGGGTGTCATTTCCACAGACCGGGGGGGGGGGCATGGTTCCATGCATTGTCTGGATCCTTCGCATGCATGGATGGGGTGAGTCCATAGACCAGGGTTTAGGAACCCCTGATCTATTCAATATGAACAATATTTTAATAAAATTCTAAATGGTAGTGTTTTCTTTGCTTTTTGATCAGACCTGAAAAAAATCATGGCCCGACAAAACCGCGCTCATCAAAATAGTGGCGACAAAACCACATCGCTAAAGCCGCGACGTCATCACTGCGACGTCATCACCGTGGTGACAACAGTGCGGCGACAGAAAGCCGATTTAAATTAAGGTAAGGGTTAGGATTAAGTTTAGGGGTTTGGTTTAGAGTTAGGTTTAGGGTTAGGTTTAGGGTTAGGTTTAGGGTTAGGTTTAGGGTTAGGTTTAGGGTTAGGGTTAGCTTAGGGTTAGGTTTAGGGTTAGGGTTAGGGTTAGGGTTAGGGTGCTGAGTGCTTCGGAAGGGTTAGGGTTAGGGTTAGGGATTTGCCCTCCACGGTTATGTCATCGAGCTAGGGTCGCCTTTTTCCTTAGCGCTTCGGACGGTGCGGATTTGCCCTCTGTGCTTATATCGGCGCGGATAAGGACTTCGCGGTTTTGTCGGTGAACTGAAAAAAATTGCTGCAATGAAGGCTGAACATAATTACAATTGCAGATATGTCAGATTGTAGGAAAATAATAAACTTGCCATGCAAGTGGATTAGGCTCAACTGAGCTTCATATTGTGAACTGAATATTTATTTTTTCCTAGTTTCTTTCCTGCCTAAATTGTAAGTTATAATTGACAGCTCTGCTGAAAAGTAAATTAAACAATATCCAACACTTCTTATGTTAAAGACTCAATACCAAATTTAAAACAAATTAAGATATTACAATTGTGAAATGCTGTCCATGATAACCATGAACTAAAGATGCAGGTCAAATCTACTGTACTGATGAGCTCAATTTATGTTTTAACTTTCTTGAAAGAGTGAACATTAGACCAAACATGAATTATGTTCCTAGGAAGACAGAATGTAACTTCAAACTTATACAACAAAAATATAGCTATTTTCTGAATGGGCATCAATCATTCAGATGATGCAGATTGAAAACTGGGCTGAAGTTTAAAATATTTTCACCCAAGAAGGAGCTTTTTACCCAATAAAGATATTTACTGGCAAGATTTATGCTGTATTCATACAGCATAAATAAGATAAACAAAAGCATTATTTTTAAATTTCTCTGCTTTACAAATGTGTCCACAAATGTGGTCCCTCTTTCATGGAAAAAGATACTATTCAATATCTACAGTAATTAGTGAATAAAAAGCCAGATTCAAAGAAAGACATCAACTGTCAGCCACACAAATATTTAACTGAAGATATAATGATTTTTTTATAAACAAAAACATTTTATAAAGAAAACACAAAAATATATTAAACTTTTAAAGAAACCCTTTCATCACTTCTTTTCTGAGGTTTACTTAAAGAAAGGGAAAAGGGAAAGGGAGAGAAAAGGAGAGGGAGAGGGTGGGGAGAAGGGAAAGATATGTGTGTGTGTGGGTGTGTGTGTGTATGTGGGTGTCTCTGTCTGTCTGTGTGTGTGTATTATCTCCTCTATCTCTCCTTTGCCCCTCTTTTTTCTCATTCTCTCCTTCTCTTTTCTCTTCACTCTGTAACTTTATATATTTTGGCAGTGTTATTGAACTTTTTATTAGACATCTTTCCTTGTAAGTTATCATATATTCATAGATCTCAGCATGCTGAAAACCAAAGGATTACCTACGGCAGAGGGCGAATCAGTTGAGAGCCTATCTCAAAAACATCAATTTAGCCCAATTAGGGGGGAAAAATCTGTGAAGATGCATTTTCTAACCATTGAAACTCTGCTTTAATTTAATTCTGAATTTACTGCAAACTAATATTAAATATACCTTGCTGAAATCTGCACAGATTTCTTTGTGGGGAAAAAAGATTTAAAAATTGTTCGTACTATTTGAACAGAGAGGAAAAATAATGAATTTGATCCAACAGACTCAGGAAAATTTAAAGAATCTCAAAAACAATGGTATGATAGAAAAGTACAAATAGAAAAAAGACATGGAAATGCTTTATTGTTAGAAAAAATGGACAATTAAAACAGAGGAGAAAAGAAAAATCTGTAAGTTTTTATAATAAATTCAATATTGCATAAATATCCAAAGAAAATGTTTAGTCTCCTGGTCTATGGTTTGTACCAGAACTAAAAACCTCTTGCATTCTTTGTTCTTGCCCAGCTAAATGCCATCCCATAATGTAAAGGTAAAGGTTCCCCTCGCACATACATGCTAGACTCTAGGGGGCGGTGCTATATCTCCATTTCAAAGCTGAAGAGCCAGCACTGTGCAAAGACGTCTCCGTGGTCATGTGGCCAGCATGACTAAATGCCGAAGGTGCACTCCGTTACGTGGTGCTAGGGATTCGAACTGCCAAACTGCCGACCTTTCTGATGGACAAGCTCAGGATCTTAGTCACTGAGCCACTGCATCCCTTTATGTGCCATCACATAATATTGTGCAATAAACACAGACTTCAAAAAATAATTAATTACTCAACATTTTAAGGTAAAGGTTTCCCTTGTCCAGAGGACACTCTGGACACACTCCTAAGAATCCACATAAAGGGCCAAAATGTTATAAAATCAGGTGTATGGCAACACTCTAAAAATGTTTTTAATTTTAGAATATTTTTAGTATTCTAAAATATTAGTTTAGGGGTTCTGTAGGTACTATCTGGAGTTGCCCCTCTTCCCTTGATATCAGTTAATCAATATACTTATGTCTCTTAGCACGTTTCTC